TTATATTTTACACTGTGTAATATTACGCGGGATGGAGCGTAGCCTAGCATGCCGGGTCTTGGGAAGGGGGGGGGGGAGCATCGGAGCTCTGATAATAGTGAAGACTTCAATGCTAAGCCAAGGATTAAATTTACATATGATTACCTCCAGAAAAGGATACAAGATGACTTTTACGCGCATGCAAATCTCACGTGCAATGAGTTTCTTGTTCACTCGCTGGAAGGCATGTGAGGCATTACATTTTTTCCCTCTGTTTAACGTAAAGGTTAGGTGTGTGTGTGAAGGTTTATGACAATGCCATTTAACGTTGAAGATGTAAATTTGTGTAAACAGTTAGCGTGGTTTAACCTGAATTATGCCTGACACTTTATCATTCTTCCATTGATAGAAACATGACTTTACTTAAAAAAATTTCAGCCTGGCATAACGACCGATATTAAATGCGATTCAGTTTGTGTTTAGGCAGGAATTTCATGGTATCTTACGCCCGGGGTGGATATGAAAGGCTTGTGGGCGGTTAATACAAATTTCATCAATCACAAAGACAGTATTTCCCAAAACACACAGATTCACTATTGTAACTAGTCTGAAACACACCAAGGATACTCACTCATACATACAACACTCTACCTTATTAGGGTGAGTTGAACTAAGAATTGGTTGTCTTCTCTTATTACTACCGGAAGAAACGACCATCAGAATGACTTATAAAAACTAAAAATTTTTGCGAAGATTTTTCAAAATTCCAGTAATATATATATATATATATATATATATATATATATATATATATATATATATATATATATATATATATATATATATATATATATATTCTGCAACGTTGTGAATTTTTTGAGATACAGTTGAATGAAACTGACACACATGTTACAGGGGAAAACGATATTCAATTTCAGTGAAAGTTGTCTGTTTCCTTGATGGTGCAAAACGTAAACTTTTAACTGGAAGGCTGGCGTGGGATGCACTACAACACGGTACAGGAACACACAAATATCCCTCTACAGTCTGATATATTAAGGAAGATACTGAATGATCACTATTATAAAGACACAGAAACAGTTCGATACGTCATCGTATGTAAAGAGTAAATTAGGTTTATCTCTACTGTTTTTTGTGTACTACGTAAGAATTGGGCACTCCAGCTTATATCACCTGAAGATTAACTACCATAAAGCGTACACAGGCATGAGGTGTCCTGATTGGTCCTTATACTCAATAACGTCACCCAGTGCTCTAACTAATCCTCATCCTACACACGACTTACCTACCCAACCTATCCAATACCCAAACCTAAGCTAATGTGAGTTTTTTATTATAGCATATCAGTGAGAGAGATATTGACTTCAGTGGGCAAAATCCAATCAGACCACGAGACGTCCGCTTGTATGTTTTACTTCAGCTCCTCACTACAGCCTCCCTTCTACACCTCTCTCTCCTCTCCATCTCTTTGGTCCTCCTCGCCAAATTGGCCCTTTTCCCCCCAATTAGAAGCTCGTTCCCCCGTTAACACAATTAGAGAGTCCCACAAATAGTTTTAGGATTTTTTTTTTTATCCTTAAATCTAAATTGGAGGAGCGTGTTTTGCTTTGCTGCAGCTGTGTGTGTGTGTGTGTGTGTGTGTGACCAGTGCTTCGATATACAGTATCTGGTAGTCAAGGTACACAAAAGTCTTTATACAGAGACAAAAAAAAATAAAATAACCGGAAACAGTAAAAAAAATGCAAATCGATTAAATAAAAAAAAATCCGATTTACCTAAAAAATAGATTTTGAATTTACGAGAAAAAAAAATCGTGATTTTTTTTCAACCTTGTAAATATCCTTTAAAGGTGGATACCCTTAAAAAGTGACCATCGTTTAGAAATGAATTGCCTTAAAAAGTGAAGAGCGGCCAGGCCTAGCATAGGATTATTCTGCTCATCTGTGTTTGACAATCAATTCCAATTTTTTTGTCTGATGTGAAGGTTGAGGGTAATGCTGCAGGTGAAGCAGAATAATGGAGATATATAAAATAACGACATTTAATATTTAACAACCTGCTGCGTTGTTATTCAATTCTCAACATTTTAACATAATACCATTCAATATTTAATTAACCTGTTAGATATTGTTATTATTTTTTTAACATTTAAAATGAGATCACCATTTAATATTTAGTTTACTTTGGAATTGGTGTTATTAAATTATTATATTTTTTAAACATATCTGTGTGTGTGATGCCATTCATTATTGGATTAAACTTTTACAATATTTTGTTATTCAATTTGATGTTTTTCCTACATTATGAATTGACGTCATTCAAAATTTAATTAACCTCTGGACCAGATTTTCAGTATTTAACTCGTCAGGTGATATTATTCTGTATACAGTGAATCTCGGTCACATTAATTATTTAGTTTAACATATTCCAAACTGTGGATCACCTGAAGATTTGCCACCCCAGCTTATTTTACCTATATTTTAAAAACCAACGCTAAAATTAACGTATTTATTATGGCTTTCTATTTACTGGCTCAAGTTAGAGAGAAAAATTAGTGGATATGTCTGATTTGTTGGGTAAAGATCAAGAAAAGCCATCGGTAGCCATCATAGTGTGTGTGTGTGTGTGTATTCAGACAAAGTCATTCGTGAAGAGCTACTGTAGAAGTCCCAGGCTGCTAGGAGGGTAGAGTAATACAATAACTTAAGTCCCCCTTCTCTTCCTCCCCCTCTTCCGTTCATCCCTCCTTCCCCCCCCCCATCACCTTCCTCCCCCTCCCCGCTTCCCCACCCATTCTTGGTCTTTACTCCCAATTAGCCATCTTCCCCCCTCTACTGTTTGGCCCATTACTCTCCCCAATTACAGTCCATTTTAGGGGAGGGAAGAAAGTATTGCTCCTTTACTTCCTCTCTCCTTCTCTCGTTCCTCCGAAGACTTTTTACCCCTCTCTCTCTCTATCTATTTAAGCTTTCCCTGTCCCACTCCTTATTCCCTATTCTGTATCTCCTCCTTTTCCTCTCCCCCCTTCTCCCCCTTTTTCCCAATCTTTGAACCCTTTCCTTCTAATCTTATCCCTCCTAATCATTATCCTCCTTCCCTCTCCTAAAACCCATCCCTGTCATAATCCCTCACCCCTTTTCCCTTCTCATAATCCTTAAAATCCCTTCCGCTCCTAATCCCTTATACCATCCTTCCCTCTCCTAGTTCCTCAACCCTTATTCTCCCTTCTAATCCCTTAAATGCAATCCCCGTCCTAATCCCTTATCAAAGCCGCTCCACCAATCTCATCTATAAACGTCTTCCGCTTTCCCCTTCCTATACTAATCAGTAAAAACCCTCCCCCTTGCCTAATCTCTAATCAAAACCTCTCCGCCCCTTTCTCCTTCCTCTGGACCAATCTTTACCGCTATTTTTTTTTTGCTCTCTCTCGCTCTCTACCTTTATCTTCTCCTTCAGTATCTCCATTTTCTTTTTTTCTACACTCCCTCCTTTTTCATATCTTTCTCATGCCTCTTCTCATCACCTCTGCTCTGCTCATCCCCCCCCTTCACGTCTCCTAGTCTTTCTCTTCACTTTTTCCCATCCCCCACCTTAATTCTACTCTTTCCCCTTCTTCCTCACCTCTCCCCTTTCCCTCACATCTCTTACCCCCCCTCAATTCTCCTCTCCCCCTTCACCTCACCTTTCTTCTCTCTTCCCTCAAACACGATAACAATGGAAGATCTTAATTGATACTGTGGCGCGTCTTAGTAATGATAGCCTCACCGTTTACATACTACCGCCAAGGCTTAGTCGCTCTCCTAATAACGCGATGTCCAATTGAATTTTCGTGGCTTGGGGAAGGAAGGAAGGAAGGAAGGAAGGAAGGAAGGAAGGAAGGAAGGAAGGAAGGAAGGGAGGGAGGGGGGGAGGGAGGGAAGGAAGGAGGGAGGGAAGGAGGGAAGAAATAGTTGTCCGGACTTAAAAAGATTTTTGGATCACCGGGAGATTGCGGTAGACACCCTAGGTTACTTTGATGTGATTATAAACACACTAATTTAAATCCATTCTAATCCTTGTTGGTTGTGTTTAAAGGGTATTTGATCGTCTTGTGAAATAAGGTGGGATGCCTAATCTTCAGTTGATCCAATGTTTATCCGTATTTGATGAAAAGTTTGTCCGTGTTCCCAGAGTGCCGCGTAGAACTATTAAAAAAAAAATCTCCCTCACGTGAAAATAAAAGGTCGGTGAATCAGTCAGTAACGGCAGTCATACGTCTAAAACTGTCAAAAAGTCCTTGAGCTGAGGCGGGGAGGAACCCACAATGGTCAAACAACAAATATGAGATTATTTTGTCAATTTTTTACAATTAAAAATATCTGATGACATTGTGAGGGGAGAAGTAAGGATAACCTGAATATTAGCCCCCAGCTTAGTTTACCTTCACGCTATCTGGGGGGTGTTGTTAGGTTAGGTTAAGTTAAGTAAGATTTGGTTATATTAGGTTAGCGTTAAGGTGGTTAATCTTTTGGTGAAATAATTTGAGGGGGGCGAATCTTGGTTATCCGAAGGTGCTAAAAGAGTCTTGAACAGATTCCTATCACAGGGGGAGGAACTGCCACTGTCGACAAGTAAAAAAAACAGAATATCTCGGCGACTTGGGTAATGAGGAAAGTTAATAGGTTGTATGAGTTAGGTGGGAGATGTGATGCTCCAGAGTTTTGGTGAAAAGTTTGATTGAGTGTTGATTAAGCCACTGAAGACGATGGTTTAATCCTTTTAGGTTTATGGTTTAACCCTTTGAAGATTACAATGTAAACCAGCGTTTAGAAAAAGTTAGTCATTTCCCAGAGGATGTACTGAAACAGGAATACGAACGTGTACGTCTCACGTGTAACTCACACGAATCAGTACACGCAGACACACATTATTGGCATTAAATCACTTTAAATTTGATGGAATTGCGATGAGTAATGACAACTTAAGGAAGGTGAGTTAATACTTGTCTCTCCCTCCGACAGGTGGCGGGCATGGCTGGGAGCAGCTGGGGCGACGCCGAGTGGGGGGACCCTGCTGACTGTGAGTGCGGGGGGCCACCGCCCCCCACCTTTATGCTGCCCCCTCCGCCGCGCCCTCCGCCACCCCCTGACGAATCCCAGGAGGACCTGGGCGACTGCGAGGGCCCCTTCACCTGTCCCAGCCTGCTGGGGGCCCGGGAGGACCAGAGGCCCACTAGTGGCAGGGCCCCCATGGCCGTCGTCATCGTTTCCGCTGCTACACTCGTCGTCCTCGTTGTCGTCGCAGCCATTATCGTCTGCAGGTCAGTGTCATCACCTTTAGTATACCAGGGCGACCCTGAGAGGGGCGTGGACGGTGACAGTTTCACAATTAATCTTCAGACTGGATTGCACAGGAAGATATCTTACTTCTTAACGCTCAAGTCACCTTATTTAAGTTCCTAAAGTAAGGCTAACTCACCCACGCAATATTTAACTTTGGGAATTAATAATATATGTGTATACTAAAGCTAAGCTGTAATAGGTGAGAACTAATAAAGTGTATAACAAACCCAACACGGGTCTCCAGGACGATGACGCAGCGCCCCACAACGCCACAATTTGAGGCTTCATGCCCTTGTAGTTATTTCCTGGTGTAATTGAGGGGTAGAGAAGAAACGTCTTGATTAAGGTTAAACACGTCTAACAGCAGTGGTCCTGGCGGGTGGAGGCGCTGCCATTAAAAAGACAGAAAATTGTCGACGTCCGTGGCCAACAAAACAACTTAGTTTACGTCGCCCCCAGGCAGAAAGTGGGCGGCCCTCTGTCTGTCTGTCTGTCTGTCTGTCCGTCCGTCCGTCCGTCCGTCCGTGTGTGTGTGTGTGTGTGTGTGTGTGTGTGTGTGTGTGTGTGTGTGTGAAAGAGGTAGGGGGCGAGAAGGTTACGGCACTAGCTTAGAGTTTTTGGTACCGAGCCCACCCTAGAAACCATCTCCACACTAAGAGACCACACGCCCACTTTCAAAGACTTCCCACAATACAGAGACCACGCCTAATTTGGAGATCACACGCAACCCCACATTAGAACGCCCACTCAGGAGGCCACCCACGTCACCCTTAGAGATGACGCCCTCACCAAAGACCACCAACGTTATTACACCAACACCTAACTCACTACATGAAGCAAGTATCACCAACACCAGACTGCACATGAAGGAAGTATCACCAACACCAGACTGCACATGAAGCAAGTATCACCAACACCAGACTGCACATGAAGCAAGTATCACCAACACCAGACTGCACATGAAGCAAGTATCACCAACACCAGACTGCACATGAAGCAAGTATCACCATAACACAACGTCCCACCAGTGTGAACAACTTGCCGGGCGGATGAAGCGAGTAACACCGCCTATACCAGCTCACTGTATTCCTCCGTTATGGGCGAACTTGACCCATTACGCGACAGTTGTGGTGGGTAGTTGGGGACAAAATCTGCCTGACAGTTGTGCATGGTTGTTACGCCCGGCAGACGGTGAGGGGAAGACGGGGGGAAGGGGAAGGTGGAGGTCTGGGTGGTGAGGGGGAAGGGTGGAGGTCTGGCTGGTGAGGGGGGAAGGGTGGAGGTCTGGGTGGTGAGGGGGGAAAGAGGAGAAAGGGGTTGGTTGTTGCTGGTGTTAATACTGGTGTGTGTGTGTGCGTGTGTGTGTGTCTACTGTAGTGGGGGTGTGGGTATATATTTAATGCTTTAAATATTAAGTTTACAAGAATCTAAATTCTGACTTCCAACCTCTAACCGGTTTGGGTGTGAGAGACAGACATATATCAGTAAAAGTGGTGATGTTTTGCGTCAGTTTGCAGGTCTGGTATCTACTTAGGGCTGGGACCACGCCTGACTGCCCACAGACACCAGGTATAATCCTATTATACCAAGGAAATCATCTATCATTGTGCTGACCAATCATAGCCATCAGCGATTTCTACCTGCAATTTGTATTCTGCAGTTACTTATACGACACATATTAGTTGATCCTCCGCAGCGCAGATCTCATTCAGAATAATTATATCGTTTCAGTGTTTTATTGCGACCGATTCCGTGAACATAAGACAAATGTCATAGTATCTGTGGGTGTAAACATCTCGTTGAATTCATTGGGTAGAATTATACTGGGATGGGTGGGCCGTGCCTCGTGTTTTTGTACTGACCGAGTAGGATACCGTTTGTGTCTGTAATCGAGGCCCCAGTTCATTGCCGAACCCTCATTGTTGTATGTGGGACCAGGCTTCTGTGCTGAACCTTTAATCAACCAGGCTAATGCTCGCCATAGTCTGCAATCTCGGCATATTTACAAGCCATAGCCAGGCTCTTGTGGCATACCTCGACGGCTCCTGTACCCATCTACTCTTGATGGCGTCGACTGCACCATCCAAGAGGTTTGCATTAGGCTTCGCAGTGGAGTAGTACTGCAAAATGTAGGACTTGGGATGGCAATACCGTTTTCTCGATATGTGTATTATTATTATTACAGTTTTATCAAGGCAAAATCAAGCGCCTGAGATTGAAACATTTACGAGTCAACCAAAGGGCGTCACGCATTACAAACTGATTGAGTTACGAGGGCTGGCAAATCTCTCTCTATTTTTGTGCGTCTTGTGATAATATTTTCTGCTGGGTGCATATTGAAAATCGTGCCATGCTTTTCAGAAGAGACTCGTGTCGTTTACAGATTACAGGAGACAAGACTTTCCAATATTCCTCTCCGGTGTATTAGACGTAAGAAAAGTGGTAGAAAAAAATAAGGTTACGAAAATGAAGGAATTGAGGCGAGAAAGAAAAAAAATTCAGGCAGGTAGAGAAAAACAAAAGAGAAAAATATCCCAAAACAACAGTCTAGGAGGACAGACATTTTTAAATAGGAATTGAGACGCTAAACTCAAGAGGGAATTTTAAGCGAGAAGGATATTCTTTTACTTTTGTTAAATTGTTAATAAATTTATGAAAAGACGAATCTGATAATTATAACTAGGAGAAGAATCAGATGAGAAGGTTAGTAAATGAGTGGACATAGTGAAGTTGTCTTGAGTAATATAAACTGGTGTGAAGGTAAATTACTTGAGGAGTTGAAGTAGGCAGGTCGATAAAGTAGATCAGTCTGGGAGGTAACAAGTAAACAAATTGGTGATTCACTTGAGTAAGTAGATGTCAGGTCAATAGCGGAGGAGACCATGAGTTGAATTAAGTAAGTAGATCAAGCCACCATGTCATTCAAGTGAGTCGATGAATAATTGATAAGATAAAACCCAGGTGAGTGAGTGGCCAGGTAAGTGTGGGGCGCCGGCGGCAACACACACACGCCCTCCCACCGTCCCCTCCCCACACACGCCCTCCCACCGTCCCCTCCCCACACACGCCCTCCCACCGTCCCCTCCCCACACACGCCCTCCCACCGTCCCCTCCCCACACACACGGTCCCTCCCCACACGCGGTCCCACACACACGCCCTCCCACCGTCCCTCCCCACACACGCCCTCCCTGGTCCCTTCCCACCGTCCCTTCCCACCGTCCCCTCCCCACACACGCCCTCCCACCGTCCCCTCCCCACACACGCCCTCCCACCGTCCCCTCCCCACACACAGTCTGGCGCGGTTGGCTCTGGTTTGTTTACATTCCGAGGTCCCGCTACCACACGCGAGGATTATGGCCACCAGGGCATGGCTGGCGCGCGCACACACACGCGCACACACACACACACACACACACACACACACACACACACACACACACACTTACCTTCTTAAACAACCCAATTTTTCATTACCCAAATTTTCGTATGGGATTTCTTACATAATTGGGTAATTAATATTTTTATAGATATGTATTTTTTAAATTACTTTATGGCTTCGCCTAGAGGTCGCGGGCTACAGACGAACGTGCAATGATAATAAATAAATGTATCAGAAGATAGTGTTGTTCGCCTGCAGTGTACATATAGCGTTACATTCCAAAGAAGAAATGAATTGGACTAGCGGTGAGTGAATTATTATTGATAAAATAATAAACATACAGGGTTCACGACCACCAAGGGTACATTATGCCCTTCTTGTACGTGTTGCAGCCGAGTCAATATTAGACGTGGTTATATTCGAAGTGTTTTCAAATGAATTTAGTATTGCATGAACGTAGTTATGTATATTTAAGATATTACAAGACCCCACGTTACAAGACTTAGAGCCAAGCTCGTTTAACGCCTCGCAAACTGGTATACTTTACACTGAGAGGTAAATCATCTTGGTGTTTTCTTTCTGTTTTAGATTAAAGTGCTTCAACTACAAGGGTCATTAAGCACCGAACACAGATAACATTTGAAAATTATGAACACAATAAATCTCTTGGTTCTTGCTGTTGTATGTATGATGTTTGCTCGAGTAAAAACGAACACATGTTTATACAAGTTTTATGGTTAGTGAGCCTTACTATCGCTTTCATTATTAAACATAACTTGGGGAGCTTGGACTAGCAAAGGAGTGCGGAGATTATAATCGAATCAGATTATCCAATTAATTCACCAAGGCTGCCGCGTGCACCTCATCACATGCCAGATTTTAAGCAACCCAACTCAGACATTCAATAAATGCCTATTAACTGTAAGCCTCTTCAAGCGTAATCTGTATAGTATATTATCGGCAACGAGATATTGTGGGAATAACGAGCAGAAACGACACACGCATTACTGTTCCCAAGAGCATATTGTTTTAGTGTTAATGTTCTCGCTTCCTTTTCGTTGTACTGAATGTAACACAAGAAGAACTTATGTATCGTAGTGCGAGGATTAAATTTTCCTCTTCCACTATCCACCACTTATTAGGCTACGCAGGTATCCAATGGCCCATTGTGGATGAAAATATCTCTAATTAATAATTGACTACAAAGGACACAAGTGGATAAATATATGTGGCAAGTTCTCAGGAGGAAAATATCAGTACAGCTCACCTCAGCACATTCCTTCACGCCCGGGCCACCAGTCAGCTCGGACCCCTCAGATCACCTTCACGGGGGTTTCATGTTTCTTAATGTTGTTGTGTGAGGTTTATGGGTTTATTAATGTTTTATAGCCATGTAATAATGCAGGTTGGGGCCTTTCACTTTGTGTCGCGTGTAAGTCGATACCATTTACCCCCGAGTTTTGTGGCTTCTTGTTAACTATAATAATTTTAGCGTCTACTTCCCGTGTTTTGTTTGAGTTGGAATTTTGTACTGTTTCTTGTGCCTGTGTTCTGACTTTTAGAAACGACAGTAAATATTTCTAGATAAAGTTATAATATTGAAAATTGCTCGTGGGATATTGCCTTATCTTTTTATCCAGGAAAAATTTCTTAATGGAATAATGTGAAAGTTTCATGTGTACTGGCCTTAGGAGTTTTAACATGATAAGCTTATACTGCAAGGTCCGTGGATCTATTTCCGGATAAATAAGCAGAGTAAACTTGCATACTGTGTGGGTGTTTGAGAAAATCTGAGCTCTACTACACTAAACGGGGGCCTTCAACCCTGAATCCAGGAGTGAAGTTGAAGCTAGAGGAACAACAACATGGAAATACTGCAGCAGTTCGCACGTGATTGGATCAGAATATAGGCACTTTGACGGTGATTGGATGAAGGTTGTGCGCTTGTGCCTCGTGTACATAACGCACATAGCAACATTCGGCTAAATTAGATTCACCTACCCAAGCCTAACACGGCCCTTTACGACGTTAATCAGCTTAGCACAGCCTAACCTTAACAAATGACTTGGTGTGTGTGGGTGTGTGTGTGTAATGGCCATAGGGGAGAGCCGAGGTAGTATCCACACTACATTACCTGCCCTTGCTTGCTGGCTCACAGGCACCTGGAGGCGGGGGAGACGCACACGCTGGGGAGTCAAGTTTCTCAACATCAAGTGCATGTGGTGTTCGTTTTACTCTAAGACTTAAGAATATTTTAGAATCTTTAAGAATTTTTCAGTTGTGATGCTTTATTTACGAGGCGTTGTTCTCCGATTCTGTAACACTGGAAAATAATGGTTAGCAAGAATTAAGTCATTGGCTGTGCTTAGCCTTACTTGGGGAAAAATAATCCTCGCGTCGAAAAATGTCAGATTCAGAAAGACGCGAATTAGACTAGAAAAACAAATAAGCTTCTTGGTGCAAAAAAAAAAAGAATGTTTTTAAACCCGAGAGGTCCAGGATGTCTTGAAACAATACGGTAATTATATTTTATACATTATTACAAGGATTTTTTTTTACATCAGGTAATGGTGCACATAAGTTTCTTTTTCGTACCTCGTAACTTTGCCTCTTAAAAGTGATGATTACAGGGGGAGAAGGACATAGAAAGTGTGATTTTACGTCGAATAAGTAAAAGAAAAAAGTCACAAAAGGAAAATCAGGTAAAAAAAGTGACTAAACACAACTAAAATAATACTAATACTGAATATTTGCCACCAAGGGAATGAAATAACGACCACAGAACATATTGTTAACGTGCAGGTTACTTGACTATTATACTCCAGTAAGTCCACCGTTCATAGCTACACTGGTGGTCTCCCTCTCACTCACTGCGGCTGTCAGTCAAGTACAACACTATTATAGATATAGGAATATGTATAATATTTTAATGTTATGTCGCTTAGGGGAAAATTGGGCCTTTATGAATGATGATGATGATATTATTATTATTATTATTATTATTATTATTTAAGGACAGACAGATTAGCGATTATCAACTATAATATATATATATATATATATATATATATATATATATATATATATATATATATATATATATATATATATATATATATATATATATATATATATATATATATATATATATATATATATATTTTTTTTTTTTTTTTTTTTTTTTTTTTTTCAAAGACCTTTGTGTGTGATTAATGTTCCTCAGGAAAAACAAAAAAATTCTTCACGCGAACATTAAATTATACTGCTGAAATTCGCACATAATCTAATTTTACATTAATGCAATTCATAAAAAAAAATTAACAAGAAGACAGGATAGTAAATAATCATGGGGATATATATGTCATATTTTCAGTGAATTATCGCCATCTGAATGTTAAGAGTTATGATGGGTTTAATATTTTATTGATGTGAATAGATCAAGAGCCAGTGTGTAGTGAGTCAGCGGATGGTCGCTCTCAATCACTGGAGTCAGCAGGTTTTGTGTATTTAATGGCCCATGTGTTCCACCCTGGACGGATTCATAAATATTATAGACAGGAAAAAAAATAAAACATATCTACAGGTAAGGAAAATACGAGAGGAAACTGTTGGTATGGTATAATAATATTGAGTTTGGAATAAACTGGTACCATGACTTCATTAAAAGGTACAGGTGACTTATTGCAATGGGCGAGGTTCGATATACCTTTTGTACTGTACACATAGGAATATTAGACCACATGGGCATACATTACCAGTTATAAATGAATAAGTACTGAAGGGTAAGATTAGTTCTCAACAGGGAAAATCAGTACAGGTCACCCCAGCACATTCTTTCATGCTCAGGCCGTCAGTCTGTGTGGACCTCAGATCACCTTCACGTGGTTTCATGTTTCGTAATTGTTGTTGTGTGAGGTTTATGGGTTTATTAATGTTTTATAGCCTTGTAATAATGCAGGTTAGGGGCCTTTCACCCTGTGTCGCGTGTGAGGCTACATCTTTTTTTTTTTCAACAGTTTTCTGGCTTCTTGCTAAATATAACCATCTTAGCGTTTACTTCCTATGTCAGGTTTTAGTTGGAATTCCATACTGATTTTTTTTCACGCGTGTTGACATTTTAAATCTGCGGTAAATTATACTTGGAAGCGATAATATGCAAACTTCACGTTAGTTTCTCTTGGCTTTGACTCAACACGAAATCCACCATTTAAAATTGAATACTTTCATTATATGTAGCTGGTCGTAGATGTTATAAGGTCGCACTGATTTCGAGGAAGCAGGACTGTAGGTGTATTTGAGAGTATCAATGGAGACCCTCAACTCTGGCAGTACGAGTCAAGTTCATGTTAAGAGGAATAACGCGGGAATACTGTAGCAGGCACCCACGCTCACACGGGATTGGATTAGATTACGAGTACCTTGACGTTGATTGGATGAAGGCCGTGTGTTGTGCCTCTTGTACACACAGTTTCAATTAACAGGTGCAACATATTACATTAAATAAGGCTATCCTAGTCAAGCTTAACATAGTCTATTATAACGTGAATCAACTAAAACAACATCACTTCGGTACTTGACTTGATGTGACTGTGTGTGTGTGTGTGTGTGTGTGTGTGTAATGGTCACATGGGAGATCCGGGGCAGCATCCACTTCATTAGGTGAGCCTGCTTGCTGGCTCACAGACACCGGGGGAGGGAATGGTCACGCGCCCCCTCCACTTGCCAGTCTCCCGCTACACTCATCATCATCACCCTCGCTCAGTCACACTTATCACCGTTGCTATCCTTTCCATATTCTCACACTGTAAAAATGATTATAAATGGCCTCTATTTAACATGCCCCCTTCTCGTTGTTGATGATATAAAGTATTTTTTTAGTTGCTATAAAAATACTTGGTGATTTTATTTCTTTATATGGAGTACGCATGTGGTTAAGCGTAGTACTTTGGAACAATCTCAAGATGCAGTGATTCCCATATGATAGTTCATACCTGTAATTTGGTCAGTCACCTTCTAAATCGTTTTTGAGGAGCCGCGCGAAACTTGAGGTAATAATATGAACCATTGTCACACAGGAAATATTACAACTGCACTAAGACACATTAATACTGATTTTTTAACTTAACGGAGAAAACAATGCAATGGGTGTAGCCCAACTGTACAGTCAATCGATGGGAACCGAGCAATTTTTTTTGAGCTACGTATATTGCACTCACAACGAGGCAACGTATTGATCAGTGCACTTCGGAGATCGTCTTCCACCGCCTACTTATTGGGAGATGGGACTTCCCTCTCCCATGTAAGTAAGTCTCGCCCGCCCTGGTGAAAGTTGTGCTCCCCGTTAATTTAAAGCCTACTAGATTGACCAGACAGGACCAGGTAGAACTACAGTGTGTGTGTGTGTGTGTGTGTGTGTGTGTGTGTGTGTGTGTGTGTGTGTCAATATCCCGGTGTCTGTTTTAATCAGAACAACATTAAAGCGCTTAAACGTATTTTTCAATTTGGTGAAACAAGTTACCGTTGAGGGGATTATATTTTTTTGGTGTTTTGAGTTAACATAAAGGAAATTTATTGTGTGTAAGTTTTACACCTGTGGGGAAAATGTGTTTAATACTAACAACTTATAATAAAAACATTTTGTCTTGTGAAAAAGCCTAAACACCGTTTTGTAAAAATTATGAGTTGTAAAGTTGGTATTTTATGGATCAGAATTGCCTTTTTCTCCTTTGGGCAGTGAACACATGTAAAAATATATATATATTTGTCTTGTAGCTTTAAAAAGTTTTATTTTGAAATACATTGGAACTGGCTGTAAAGAACATTTTATGAATTTTGGTGGTGTGTGTGTGTGTATAGTGTATGGGTCAGCGTTTTTATTTCATCACAACAGCCCAATAGTTGTATGGTAAGAGTCAGCAGAATATAAAAATACTTTTGTCGTCCCTTGAATCAAACGCAGGTTTTTACCCTCACACACTTTTTGTATATAACATTTGGATTTAGAAAGATATTTTTCAATTCGTTCTCCTCCCCTTCCCTTCCTCTTTAACTATTTGACATATACAGTATAAGTGACCACCTCTGTTTACCCCAGCAGACTACGAGGCCGCGGACGGACTCCCAAGGGGTGCACGGAGCTGAGCGGGGCCATCATCTACGACGACCTCCCCTCCGCCCCCACCATTGTGCCCGCCCGCACACGCCCACGCTTCAAGCCCGTACCCATTGACGGGGAGGAGATGATGGGCATGACCATGGGCGTTCATCTGTACACCCCCGAACCCCGCAGTAACCCTCCGTCAGAGCACCTCTATCAGAGCATCTCCTCAGGTAGGCTGCGAGCCTTGACAGTATTAAGTTCGTGTAAGGTAGAAATTGTTTGTGGCTGTGATCTCACCGACGTGTGTATAGTTACCGTGTATGTTTCTTGATGCACTTTAGTACATAGTTTCACACTGTGTTTGTGTCCCGCAGGTAGTGAGACGTGTAGCTACAGCACCAGTGACGCGGCGGGGCAGGACGGTCGAGCCCTCCTGCGGCCTCCACATCCCCGGAGTGTGAGGACCTCCACCCTGGCTGACACCGACAGCGAGGAGGAACCCCTGGCGCCCATGGGCGTCCTTGGGGAACCCAGCGACAACGACACGCCGAGCATGTCGCCAGCCCATTCCCGCTACTACTGTGCCAGCGCCCCACCCCGTACCTCCTCTCCGGGATCAGATTACGAGAGTGTTTACTACGTGGGCGGGATGCGGCGTGGGCGTCCCCCTACCCCACAAGAGCGCGGTCTACCGCCTCTTCCCTCCCGCACTGACAGGTTCAGAATCTACTTCTCAGTGGATCGTGGGCAGCACCGAGCACCTGGACGGCGGGGCAGGCGGCAGAACCAGCACCACCACCCGAGGAACCCACCAGAGGCAGAACCTCTCTACGAGAACCTCACTTAGAGCACCATTCGTTTAAGCACTAATTTGGGACGTCGCAGCACCCTAGTCGTCCTCTGGTGGTACAGTCCTGTCCCCGGGTCGTAGATGAACCGTCTCGACCACCACAGTTCACGCTCGTCGTAGGTGATAACAGGACCGTCAGTACTAAGGCCAGGTGATGCGAGGTGTGAGTGTGTGTAGCACTCAGTTCCGTTTGATCTCAGGTGTAGCGAGCTGGCTCAGGTGTGTAGGGACCCAGCCAGACGGCCTCGATGGGGAATGTGTGTGATCTCCCCGAGTGTTGAATAGGCAAGATAAGTGACCCGCTGGAGTTTAACGGTGATACGGAAATATGCGAACTGGAGATTAATGATACAGAACTACGTGGGTTAAGCAGCCCACAGTAATGAAGGGACACTTGGATGGTAACCTTGTAGTGACCTATTGAGAGGCGGAGTGTTGAGTGAACAGTGACACATGGCTCCTGCCCGTGGCGCTAACAGTGATGTATTACACACAGGTGGCCGAGTCTACGGTAATACACGGATATAAATAAGAAGACGCCACAGGAAGGACATCTGGACGATTTCTTTGGAACTATTGAGTCTCCGGTGATGTCAAGTGGGACGTTATTTTTTTTTCTATATGGGAATAAAGAGAGAGAGAGAGAGAGAGAGAGAGAGAGAGAGAGAGAGAGAGAGAGATATGGTTGCAATATTCAGAAGAAGGAACATAGTGTCGATATTCTGAGCCTATGAGGGGCGTCGATGGATGACTGCCAGTGTTGTGGTTCAGTGTTAAGGGAGTCTTGTACAACACCCAGTGCATTTATAATCAACCTCTGTTGTTGGTTAGTATTGTGGCTATTTAAAGAATAATGATTTGTAAAATGTGCTCGACGCATTTAGTTCTGATTTGTTAACTGTTTTAGTGTTTAGTGGATAGACCGAAGTGAAAGAAAACAGAATCACAAAACGTGTGATTTATTTTTGGTGCTTGTGTCTTTCGTGAGTGACGTCATCGGAGAGTTAGTGACGTCATCAAGTCTCCCAGGCACGGCACAGGCCAAACACTGGCAGTTTGGGATTAAGCAAAAGACTTAAAAGTGTTTGCGTCCGTAATGAGACAAAAGAGACAGTGAGACCTTAAGCCTGGCAGTACGTACGGCTTCTGCGCGCCTCCTCGCGGACCGGCCGTACCTCAGCACGTGCGCACTTGTACGGTAACGTGCCACGTGTGTGAATATTCAGCCTACGGGAGTACCTTGGATATATTTTGTTAGGTGAACCTGCTGGGGGGGGGGGGACTCAAGTGAAGGTTGTGCGGGCCCAGACATACCAAGGACCAGGTAGTGTTCTTAATCACCCCAGGTAATTAAAGGTGTTCTTCCCCCTTGTGTGATGAACGAACTTACAGCGCCTGCGCAAGACGCCTCAGGGTTGGACAAGACGGGGCGATAATTAATTAGACTCCCTAGGTTGATGGTAATTGTGTAAGAGAGTTTGCGAAATCCCAAGGAGATTGTAAATTTCTTCCCAAAAGACAATACTAAACCCAAGAATATTGTAATTGTTCAAGGGAATTTGTGAAATAATTAGGTAGTGGAGAAAAAAAAACCCAGGGAGTGTAATAATAAAAAAAAGCACAATGATAATGGCCCAGGGAGGATGATAGAAGGGGTGGGTAGGTACAAGGAGGTGGTGTACTGGATGGGGGTTGGGGCGGGGCACTCTTGTAGTAGCGTTGTCTGAAGGTGCATTCTAGTCCTGGACGTCCGAGCACACGCTGACTCTTTCACTCATCACCTGCTAGAGTTATTATGTGACACACCAACACACACACACAAACAAACAAACACCTGCTGTCATACATTCATACACACATACCATACATAATTTTATACCTTACATTCATCAACTGCTTGTTATTATGTGGCACACGAACATATACAAACACACATAAACTTACATACATACATACATTCATTACTTCTATCATACAGTCATCACTTGCTAGTGAATACTGTGACACAATTATACAAATACATATATACTATCATACACAGGTTCAAGTTTAACTATACATACAATTAACACATACACACACACACACACTCATAATTTCCATCACTTTCACCAACACACACACACACAGGTCCACAAGTAGACACCCGTGCACACCCAGGTAATGTGCACGTCAGGATACAGGTTAACTCACACACCTGTGGGTCAACACTACCACCCCTCTGCCAACTTAACATAGACGGGCGAACCTCATTTACCATCATGTTTTTTGACTTACCTGAGCCAAAGGGTGAACTCACGACACCTCCAAGTCTTCTCATATTTTTCTTTACGATTTTTTACCATTTTTTTTTCTTCTAGTAAAAATATAGTTATAATTTTCAACATAATATATCACCCTCCAGAAAAAAAAAACCCACTTGGTTGTTAGGGGGGTGGTTCAGGAGATAATATTTTTGTTATTGTTTTCACTTTAAGGGAAGACTTGGGTGTGTCGCCAGACCACACCACAGGGAAGATCTTTAAAAGCATGAGTCTTAGTTACTGTTCTTACATATCAGTGTCAAGAGTCTTCAGCAGTGTATAGCCTAAGTCTCTCTCTCTCTCTCTCTCTCATTCCTGACTTTCCCCTCACGAAGATCCATTTTTATTTTCATGTTCCATTTTCCTCCTCACACACGCACACACACAAACCAGTCCTGTGTTCCCAGCCTCTGTTAGTGTGAGCTCTCGACGAAGCAATTTACTCGAACCTTTACAGGGAACCGTTGTCCAGTGGTTAATAAGTCATATGATAAAAAAAAGTTACTTTTCTTTGATAAAACGGATCACTACCTTTCCACAATAAGGACGAGACTTATTCAAATAATACAAATAAACATTAAATTAGTTACAGGTGGACAATTATTATTAAGTTAATAATAAAATGTCCAAAGTGTTATTAACCAATGTGCTTCTTTTTCTCCAATAAGAGCAGAATTGATTGTGGTTGAGATGGAGGCACACAAAGTACACCTGTGTTGTTTGGAGTGTGTTGTGTTTTGTCGTCAGCTCACGCCATCATGAGCTTCTGAGCATCATCTGGGTATTAGCAGTATATAATCTTTTTATTCTCATTATTTTTCTGTATGTTATATCTTATCTTCACCGAGTAAACAGTGTAAAAGGAGAAGGTTTATTTAGTTTTATACAAACAAAATTATAATTATGTTTAAAATTTTCATAATGTGCAAAGTTCCAACGAATTGGTTATGAATTTAATTTGATTTTTACACATGAAAACTGAACAATTGGTTTATTCTTTTGTTTTATATTGGTGAAAATTATCTGGATTACACTGCCAGCTGATTTATTATTGCCAGTACCGTTGAATACATCCTTCCAACCATTCCATCTTATTTATCCGGGAATACTGTACATTATTGAAGAGTTCATGGGTAGAAAAAAGGGAAAATGTTTATATTATACTAACTTACTAACATTATTTGTGGTCATTTATTTGTCACTGGGTTAAGGGGATATGTTTTATATACAGATTTGACTTTAATTTACAAGTTAATTACATTTACAAACTTAAGTCATTTACTTAAAAATTTACTGATGTATATTTAAGCCTGAGTATCATGACTTAAACCCCCAGAATATAGAATCATCTTATTTATGGGGACAGGCATTGTATTCAAAGAGTTAAGAATCTTACTCAAAGGATTAAATCATTGTACTCCAGAGGTTAAGTTAACGCATTAAACGAGAGAGAATTATTGTACTCAAGAGAGGGTTGGCATCGTACTCCAAAGGTTAAGTTAACGCATTAAACTAGAGAGAATTATTGTACTCAAGGGAGGGTTGGCATCGTACTCCAGAGGTTAGATTGAATTAAAAGGGTTATCTTAATGGAGTGAACTAATGTACTCAAGGGGGTTTGGCATCGTACTCAATGGGTTAAATCTGCATATGCTAATTTTAGTTACTGGTTTAAATCAGCAGGCAATAACTCCAGGAGAATTCTAATAAAAAAACAACAACTTTATGTTCCTAAACCCGAGTTAGATCGTAATGGCCAGGAACATTAATTTTCATGTAATTTAATTAATATTCCATTTTCTTCTCGCTCTACAGATCTCTTCAAAGTATAAAAACCCCATCGATTCTTCATTTTCTAACACAAAACACCCCGCTGTTTCCTTTTCAGATCTGTTCTTTCTCTAATTCCGCATCACTAAGTATTCTTTTCTCTTCGAACAATTGTATTCTTTCACTGATAACCTAAGTCCTTGTACGTCACCAGCATCCCTCCTTCACTCGCCATTGCACCATTATTATTTTTTTCGCTCACTCACCAACGCCTCATTTTCTTTCATATTATTTTATGTCACTAATATCCCATTTATTTACCGGTATATTTGTAAATATTTTCTTTCAAGAGTTTATCTCGTTTTCTTTAATTGGTAAAATAAACAAAGATTTTCCTTCAGTTGTTAAACATCCATTTTGTTTCATGAGTTATTCATATCCTATTTTCTTACATTAGTCAACACTCCATTTCCTTTCACTTTATACTGTACAATAATGATCTTTTGTTGTCGCACTAACTAGTCACCATAACGACTCTCATTTGTTTCATTACTGATAAAAAAATATTGTTTTATGTTACATTATTTTTTATTAAAGCGGTGAGTGCTCAATGTGATATACTTATATATTAATATGTTTTATAAGAATCTATTGTATTATTCAGACGACCAGTGTTTTCTTTACTCCTTAACAAACCAGATAATACAGACTGGAATATTTATATAGAATGTCCTGAAGATTAACCACCCTCATGCTAACTTAACCTCACCCAACCCCCCTCCAGTAGTGTTAGTGTTGTTAATCTAAAGGTGATATAATCTGCGGTGTCTAATCTTCAGGGGAAATATTTGGTGGTGCTTAATCTTCAGTTGATCTATTGTTAAAAAAAAAGCAAGACTAAATTTATTGACGAAAAATTAAATACTTTGAAACTGTATTACAAATTACATACAGGATCTTCACGAGAGAGTGTTTTAGATCTTTGTTACAGATAGGACAAGGAACTCCTAAAAGATGATGAAGGATGCTTGCGTCATGACCAGAAAATGTGTGGGGGAGAGAGGTCATGTGCCTCTGACCCTGACTGATCACATTATCAATATGCTGGAAAGTGGGTCATCGAAATTGATATATGAATGGATAATAAATAACAGTGAATAACGAGGGAGGAAGAACTAACATAAATCCTGAAATAACCTGATTAAAAGTAAATAAAAAATAATAATGATGAATAATGTGGGATAATATACAATACTGAACATAACGTGTGAGAATTTATCGCTTCGGTCTGGACTGAGAGAGGAAAACGACAATCAAAACAGCACATAAACACAACCAGATTACAAGACCTCATCTTCCACAACACTGACATATTACCTTGGGTGTGTGGTGAAGCTGGCTTAAGTCGGGTTACCTGAAATATTACTATATTGTGTGGTCAGCTTGGGGAGATATAGGATAAGACGAAGAGGTGTGAACCAATATGGCAACAGGGGGTACTGCTGGTGGCTGTGAGGGTAAAAAAAAATATAGCTGATCATAATCGTTAACGAACACCACTTACTGGGAGTCAAAATGATAAAGAGACTGTAATACATCATAACAGAAAAAACGCCCATCAGTAATACCTTTGTGAGACGATTAATATTATATACCATGGTGGATAATGTTGATTCATGACTAAAGATACGTATTGTCAGGTAAAAAAAAAAGAGAAGATATTTACTTTTATGATTGAAGAAGAATGGTTCCTCTGGCTATACTATAAGACTACACCAAGATGATCTCTCTTTTACAATCTCATAAATTCTGTTCTGTTGCCATGAATACCAAGTGAGGCAGTTATTCAAGTATGAGGTTCCATCTTTTGTTAACGTTCTGGTGAAGGTGAAATGTTGTTCTATCTTTCTGAATATCTGTTACACTGACTTAGTAACGGTACTAACATTAAATAACTTCAGGTAGATATAAACGAATTTTTTGGGGAGTAATTATTGTATTCACATTCCTTAATAATACTGTTCTTACAAATATCACCTTGAATTTGATGGACGGTTTTCATTACTGAGTAAATATCATGTTAGATGATTACCTGTTACCTGGCTCAGTATCCATCACGTTAAATTTATGTTTTTATGCTCAATAACGAGACACAATCACTACAAATTACTCTTCATTGGTGAGGTATTGTGTAATAGAAGCAGCAGCCATTACTTTGAACTCTAGAATTATGATAATGTTTTGAGGGGATCAAGAGCAGAGGTTCTACACAGGTAATATATTATTTTGACTTTCCATCACCGAATTAATAAAAAAAAAGATCAAAGTTTATATATTTTTGGGGGATTATCACAACAACTCAAGGTACATCTTCAGTTACAGCCTAAAGCAGCTCGATATGTTACCACGTATAAAGAAAGAACAGCTACTGATAGCTTTCAACAGCATTTACGTGATGACAAGATACAGAAGAAGCCAATGTAACGCAATTCAACACCAGAATTTTTTTTTTTAACTTCCACTTAAAACATTCAACAACATCTGACAGCTCGTTACGATACCAATGTCAAACTCAACAGGATTTACTACCTAGACACGATGCATTTAACAATACCTAATAACTTTCGAGATACAGGTAGTCCAGGTAACCACACACACACACACACACACACACACACACACACACACACACACACACACACACACACACAGTCACCAGCAGGAATTACCAAAGAAAACCATTCCAATATTCAGATCAATCAGAAACTCCACAACACGTCACATTTTTCTCCTCAATGCTCATTCTTTTCTTAACACAGTCGACTCTGACGTCATTAGCTGGCAGGAGGAAAAAACAGGCAAGAACAAATAGCTTTTCAAACTAATTAATTTTCAGAAATTAACTTTACTGGAAGTTTGAGCGTCTGTAAGAAGACCTTAAAACACAAGTGTCCCAAGCAGCAGTGTTGTCAGCTGAAGACAAAACATTCAACTTCAGTAATGTGTTGACAAAATCCTGTGATAACAAGGTAGCCAAGCAGTGTTACCAAGCCCGGGGATACCATTTAGTTCGAGCAGTGTTACCAACCCCAGGTATACCATTTAGTACCAGTAGTGTTTTCAAACCCGGGGATACCATTTAGTTCGAGCAGTGTTACCAACCCCAGGTATACCATTTAGTTCGAGCAGTGTTACAAACCCCAGGTATACCATTTAGTTCGAGCAGTGTTACCAAGCCCGGGGATACCATTTAGTTCGAGCAGTGTTACCAACCCCAGGTATACCATTTAGTACCAGTAGTGTTTTCAAACCCGAGTTAAGACATCCAACCCAACAGTGTTACCACCCCAGGAAGATATCCTCTCCAGCAGTGTTCCCAAACTTATAACTAACTGTCAATCAAGAGAGTATTACCAGACCTGGGCTGATGACGGAGACAGTAGCGTTTACCAACAATAAATCGTTACATTACCTTGAAGAAGCACCATAGAGGGTTAATGGCCTCTGAACCCCTCAACACTGTTACCATATCCAGTGCGTTTTGATGTAGTGTTTCCAGAGCAATAATACTAACCAGTACAGTAAAACCTCCATTTAACGGACATCAATCTAACGGATACAGTCCGTTATATGGAGGTGTCACATATAACGAACCTCGATATAATGAACTGTAATATCCTATATAGTTCATTATATAGAGGTCTCATGTTAATGAACCTCGATATAATGGACTGTAATATCCTATATAGTGCGTTATATGGAGGTTTCACATCTAACGAACCTCGATATAACGGACTACACTCTCCCATATAGTGTGTTAAATTGAGTTCTCACTGTGCTCTAATAAATATAAAAAGCCTATTAATATATAATCAACTATGACGTCACCATGTCTGAGGGTTGGCGACCACAGTCCCTCAATCCTGACACTATCATCAACAGCGCCACAGTGGAAGTTTTGTCAAATACAGGTCGTAGGGATACAGTGTTACCAGACAGAGGGATAACAACACCGTTATTAAACCTAAACCTTATTTAACGTAACTTAATCTAACCTAAACCAAACCAAACCAAACCCAGCTAAACTTAACCAAAGCTAACCTAACCTAACCTAACCTAACCTAACCTAACCTAACCTAACCAAATCAAGTCTAGCTAAACCTAACCTAACCACAACAATAAACTTACACCTAATATTATGGAGTTTACTTTCCTATGGTTCCACGAAACAGTATTACCAGCTCCAGAGGTTCTCCAAGTCTCCCTGCCCCACAGAACAATGTTTTCAGATACAGAGGTCTCTAATGCGATGTTACAGTCGCAAATTGCTGTCGTATATCATCACAACATCCTTAATAATGGTGCAGCGTTACCAGAACCCAACTGCCTCTACACAGTGTTACCAGACCTTACCCATCTCCACAGTGTTACCAGACCTTACCCATCTCCACAGCGTTACCAGAACCCAACTGCCTCTACACAGTGTTACCAGACCTTACCCATCTCCACAGCGTTACCAGACCTTACCCATCTCCACAGCGTTACCAGAACCCAACTGCCTCTACACAGTGTTACCAGACCTTACCCATCTCCACAGTATTACCAGACCTTACCCACCTCCGCAGTGTTACCAGACCCAGGATTCTCAAGGACTCTTACGCTAATTTTATCTTCCTTAACTGATGATGTATATAGGTACATAAAAGGAACATCTAGTTACGAGTCTTAGTGCAATTACAGCGCCATTTTGACCGCCATCTTAAGAACCGTAGATTAAGTGAGGCAGTTTGTTACATTCTCTTATTACCATTTATGGGAAAATTTTAACAATGACTTTTAAAAACTTGTACCCAGAGCGATTTTGATACACTATTACCAGATACATACGTTTACGATACAGTGATACATTAATGTTGTTCTATTCTTCAAGTTATACAATAGATGAGGTCAACTTTATTACATTAGGACGGTTACTAAACACGGGGTGAAAAAATGTCATGATATGGTGATAAAATACAAAAGAATTGAGATTTGATTAGGTAAGGTTAGGTTAGGTTAGGTTAGATTTTGTTTTGGTTAGTGTTAGGTTAGGTTAGTTTGGCGTTAGGTGAAGTCACAAGTACTGTACAATGGCACTTTCTTCCTACAGCTGTATTGTACTGTACATTAGTTGAGACGACGAGTATAATGTGGTAGAACACTCAGTATGTACGAGGCAGCCATGTACACTTGATATTAGGAGATATTCTAAGGTCAAAAGTAATTAACTTTTACGATGCAAAAATGCCTGGTGTACAATACTGCATTAAGGAAAAGTACTGTAATTTTTTTGATGAAAAGGAGCATGCAGGACCCCCCTTGGATCCGCCCCTGCATGGTACACCTGTAAGCTTCATGGTACACCTGTAGGCCTCATGGTACACCTGTAGGCCTCATGGTACACCTGTAAGCTTCATGGTACACCTGTAAGCTTCATGGTACACCTGTAGGCCTCATGGTAAACACGCTCGGGTGCAGTCATTATCTTCTCCACAGTTTGAATCACCTGAAGATAAACCATCCTAATCGTTTACCCAACCCAACCTAACTTAACCTAACCCAAGGCAGCTTTAGGGTGGTTAATCTTCAGGTGATCTCAGTTCTGCCAATGACCAGACCAAGAATC